ATGCCAGATCTGCCTCCTTTACGTTTCAGGTTTTGGACATGTGTCTAAGTTATGGGAAAGTGGCTATATAGTATTTAACTTTAGTAAATGACACAGTGGTTTTGTTGACGACTGGACCAATAAATACATTAATGTCACAGAAGAATCCAGAAATAGATCCATGCAAGTAAGATGAAGCTGATTTTTGACATATATACAAAAATAATTCAATGTATGAAGTATAGTTTTTTCAACAATACTGCTGGGGCACTATTCATAAATACATAAAATTAACATTACTGGCATTGACAAAATGTAAATTAAAGCACAATGCAATACCACTATATACCTACTAGAATAAAGTTAAAAAGACTAGATGTATCAAGTGTGGCAAGAATCTGATATACTCCTGATTAGAACCCAAAATAGCAAAACTATTTTGAGCAACAGTTGAGTAATTTTTGGTTAACAATGTATATATAAATATATTTTTAACAATATGACCTAGTCATAGCCAATTGTTTATTTCTCTAAGGAAAATTATGACACATGGATTTATAGAGACTTTTGCATGAGTATCCACAGTAGTCTTATACATGGCCCTATCTGGAAAACTACCTAATGTTAGTGGTGAATGGGTAAACATAGTGTAGAATATCCATACAATGCAATACTACTCAGAGATAAACTACTGATTCATACACTATCAATGATTCAAAATAGTATGATGTGAAAGCTGGCAGATACTGCATTTATGCAAAATTGGGATGGTGCTTGTTTTACGAGGTGTTTTTAGAAGGATAACATACTAGAAGATTAGACTATTCATGCATGAGATATTACCAAGGAATACAGGACATCATTGAAAGCATTTTCAATGAAGTCATACAATTTCATTTACCAGCCATTATTTGATTAAATATTATGAAACTAGACCATGACCATCCTTATAATTAGTGCTGAGTACTTACTACATGCTAGCCCATTGGCCCAACAAAAATAGCACCACTGAGAGTCAAAACCTTGGTTCTGGTGGCCTGAGGCTGTGGAAAAATCTTTTAAAAGGTGCTATGGTTTGGATTACTATACCCCACAGGTACATATATGACAGCTTAGTCCCAGGGTGGTGGTATTGAGGGGTGCCAAGTACCTTTAAAAGATGGGGCCCAGAGGGAAGTCCTTAGGTTATGGAATACACTTTTTTTTAAAAAAAAATAAAACCATATGAGAAAAACAAAACAAAACAAAAAACCCCAAATGGGGTCATTCAAAACAACAGAATGGACATAGTACATGATTTAAAACCACAATACGAGGTGATCTACAATGGTTATCATGACATCTCTTGTTATCTTCAATAGAATTGCCCATATCATTGGGTACAATAAAATTGAACATAGCAGTACAGAACAAAATCAATAAAAACAAAACACTGGAGACATTATAAGACTTCAAAAGAAGGTAATAGTCAAACCAGAATGGGTATCATGGTGAATCTTATTGTCGTCAGAGTGGTTGCCTATATACTCAGACTTGATACTAACAAACATAACAGATTTGAATTAAATCAGTCAAGATAAGATAGTGATCAAACAAAACAAATTCAGATAAATCAGTCAAAACAAGGCAGTGAAAGCAATACAGCATTTCAGATTAAGTTTATAGAAATTAAAAATGGTTACTCTAGTATATTCTACTATCTTTGGAATAGCTGTCTATGCCCTCAAATCCAGTATAAGTAGACAAACTGGAACAGAACATAATCAAACTAAACAGAGTGATGAAAGCAATATAGGTTTCAAATCATGATACAAGATTAACAATGTCCTCTGCCTTCCCTATTTAGACAGTTCCTCCCCTTTCAGTTTCCCAGGTACATTGTACATTTTGTACCCCACTAACTCCTTTAGTTTTTAGATTAGGGAGGCAACCCACTATTTACCTAAGTGGTTCTGAACTTTTTTACCCTTGCTTGAACCAACTGCTCTCAAGTTGTATCTACTTACCTACCGGAACCTCAAGATTTTCTTTTCTTATAGCTGAGTAGTTCTCTATTATATTAAAGTATTATGTCTTTCCAACCAATCTGCAGCTGGTAGGCGAGCTACCCCCACTTTTTTCTGGTTCCCTGTCACATACAGCATTATTTTCTCCTCTTTTTCAGTCCATAAACCTGCTTTCAGGTTAAACATATTTCTTATATATAGCATCTTGATGGACTCTATCTCCTGATCCACTCTGCCTGTGCTTCTTTATAGTAGTGTATTGAGGCCATCCATGTTGGTGATTATGGCCAACCTTCTCAGACTCATGTCTGCCATGCTATTTTTCTGCCATTGGTTGTCTACTTTTCCCCTTCATTCCACCATCTGCTGTGTTCAGTGAGCCCCTCTGTCACTGTTCTTGAAACCATGATCGTTTTTCTCTCTCTAGCATTTTCTTCAGTATTTTTTGTAGGGTTGGATTGGTGGTCATGAACTCCCCCAGATCCTCTTTGTCATGGAAGCATCTTGTTTCTCCATTAATTTTGAGAGATAGTTTTTCAGGGTACATCAATCTGGGTTGGAGGTCATTTTCTTTCAGGGTTTAGAATACTTTGTTTCAAACCCTTCTTGACTTGATAGTTTGTGTTGAGAAGTTTGTTATGATTCTGATGGGTTTTCCTTTATAGGTGATCTGTTTCTTTTCTCTGAAAGCTCTTAATATTCTGTTCTTGTATTGAATTTCTGGGATCTTGATTATTATATGTCTGGGTGTAGATCTATTTTGCTTATAGCTGTATGTTCTGTATGCCTCATGTATCTGAATATCATTTCCTTTTCCTATGCTTGGGAAGTTTTCTTTAATTATTTCTGTGAACAGCTTTTGCATTTCGTTTGTGTTTACCCCTACTTCTTCACTCACAATTTTATTAAGTTATAGATCCTCTTGTCATATTCTAGCCTTTGTATTTTTACTTCTTGTTTCCTTGTTATTTTTAAGAGATCTTTTCTTTCACAATTACACATTGCAAAACTGTTTTCAAGGTTTGCTAGTGTATCTTTGGGTTTTTTTCAAGCAGTTTTGCCAGCTTTCAATGGAGATTTTAATTTTCTGGTAAGCTCTCTGAATCTATTTTGTGTGTTTTTAAAAAAAATTTTCATCGAATGTTTCTTTCCTTTTTCTATGCTCCTCCATTCTTCCATCTGTGTCTTTTTGAAAGGTACTTAGCATTTCTTTTTTCTTATATCTTCCTTTATTTGTATTAGAATTTCTGTTTTGAGTTCTTTTATAATGCCACAAAGACATTTCTTTATGTCAGATGCTGTTGCTTCAGAAACTGTAGGTATACAACTCCCAATCTCTTCTGTGTTTACCTCTCTTGGGCCAGTACTTTTGGGCTGGAAGCTGTAGACTTCCTTTTGTTTCTGCCTCTTGTCATGTTTCTGGTTTCTTGCAGACAAGTGGACAGTGGGGTCCCTGGTACTTCCTGTATTGGCTATAATTACTCTGAAGCATGCTGGCTAGGGATTGCTCTCCAGTCTGCTGATGACAACTGAATTACAAGCACAAGTGGGGCAGGCTGGCCTCTCCCTTCTGAGCTGGTCAACCACTGGGAGACTTCACCACATTAGTGTGTGCGGATGGGGCCAGTTGGGGATAGCTTCAGGGAGAACTTATGCTTGGCTGTTGGATCGCTCACAGGGGCAGGACTCAGTTCAAGCAGTTCTCACCAATCTGCTCTGCACTAGGAGTGGCTGACTGAAGCCACTGCAGTTCTGGTTCTGAGCTTATCCTGTCCAACTCCAAAATGTCGCCTGGCTAATTGCCCACTCCCATGGGAGGACTGAGCTCCCTACACTCACCACAAGCCAGTGCAGATCTCCAAGTCAGCCCTGGTCTCCGTTCTGCTGCTCCCCTCCATGACTGAGTCCTCCTGCCAAGGCCCTTGGGTTTGCCAACTCCCAACTTCACCACAACTACACATCTTTGGATTCCAGTGGCGTTTTGTACATACTGGGACTGGCCCCAGTGAGAGCGCAACTGGCTACAGCTTTCCATCCATGTTTTTCTTTTCTTTTTTTTTCCCTTTAGTTTCTTCCTGAGAGGATCCATCTCCTTCCTTCTGGTCTTCTCCAGGATGTTTTATTCCAGCATCTGAGCTATTTCTCTCAGAGATGCTCTTTATTTTGCTGCTTATTGATCCGCCATCTTCCCAGCTTCCAGGAAAAAAATTCTTAATATCTAAATAAGTACTGACAGCTGTGGTGCCACATGCCTGCCATCCCAGCACTTGGGAAACTCAGATGAAGAGATCACCATGAACTTGAAGTGAGCCCAAATGGAGCTCCAGAAGTGAACATGGGTGTACTAGACACCTAGTGTGTTAGCTATCAATTGATCAGTGACACAGCAGCTGATGACAGCAGATAGGACTTTAAAAAGCCCAGAATACACTTTTGAAGGAGACTCTGGGACTCCAGTGCTTCTCACTCTGCTTCCATGCTCATGGTGTGAGCACTGGGAGCTCTCACTGGCACTGTTGCTGTGATGCATTAACTCACCAGAGGCCCAAGCCAGGAGCCCCCAGGACCATGAGCTATATTAAGCTTCCCTAAGTGGCCTGGCTCAAGCACTTTGTTACAGTGATGCAAAGCTGACTAATACACACTTCTAACTCTATCATAAAAGCCCGTAATTCATATTTTTTTAATATGAAACTTGATAAACTTGAATTAATGAAATTAAGTTAAAAATAATTATGTAACTATTTTGGGATTGAAATGTAAAGAAAATGGTAAGAAATATAAAGTAACATCATGTTAATTCCTTTCATGTTTTCTCATTACCTTGCAAATACTAAAGTAGAATGCTGTTATTTTTTAAGTTGGAATGCTCAACTACTCCAAAAGTCATCAAATATTTACAAAACTTTATGTGAAAATTAAGGCAGAATGCAACCTAATGTTTACCTTTAACAAGATTATGTTTCTCTCTCTTACTAAGCATTTCAATAATTAAAAAGTACCTAAGCGGGTAAATCATCTCTCAGTGTTTTATTTATCATTATAACTTGGCAGTAAGAAATCACTTTCCAAAATGACAGCACATGTGTATTAACAAGTCAGTCTGAGTTCATTCATTGTGTTTTCCCGTTTCTCCCGGCAGCTTTGTAAGAATCCATGACTTTAGTTGCTCCAGCTCTGTTTTGCTGAGTTCATGGTACATACTGGGGAAGCTATGAAACTTTGTGCTCACTCCTAAACTTTTTAACGCTGAGTTTGTCTCTTCGCCCCAGGAATGAAGAACCAACTCATCTGCAGTGCCGTGACACTGAAATAGTTCTGGAAGCACACCATCACTCTTCTGAAGGGCCTAGATCAAAAAGTAAACAGGAAAAGTGTAAGAAACTGTACTTAAAAGGTCATTCTTAGAAATCACAGAGGAAGAAAAATTCCAACTTCACCAAAGCTTCGGTAACTAACGGGCAAAAGGAATACAAGGAGCACTGTGTGAGATGTCCACAGGGGCTGAGCCGGTGGCTGGCGCAAGCCAGAGGACTTTCCCAGTGGCCAGGGCATGTCCTGAAGGCACCAAAGGACGGGGAAGATGCTGGGCAATGGGGAAGGCAGTTCCTTTACGGGGGCAGCAGGGGAGAAGTTCAGAGCTCAAGCTCACACTAGCAAAAAGATGGTATTCTAGACCACAAACTGCTACTTGCTCTACTGTTTTTACTTCTGGGAAGGAAGCTGCCACAGTACACTGTACCATCTTCGTAAACTAGGATTTTGCTGCAAAGTTAAGTACCAACTTTGTATGTGATTTTTTTGTTCTGAGTATGCTCAAGGTGGAAAGGGCAAGCCTGGCTATAGTCATCTAGATTTTTAATATGTACAAAATATACACATACTATCAGGCATACACACACTCTGATTCTTTACTCCTCAAAACTCTGCTTGAGAATATTTTCTGTACAGGGCAGTTTCTAAAAATTATCAGCTAGATCTAATTCCTATAACTCAATGGGCATAAATTCCTAGGAATGCTGAATTTGTATCAGCTGTGCATCAACTTTAATTGCTTAATTACAATTTTATTTTGGTTGTGTGTGCTTCATGGTTTTTTTGTTTGTTTGTTTTGTTTGCTTTTTAATCTGGAACTTACCTGGTAAACAGCAGATGCTTTATTCAGAAAACTAGATAGAGCAAATACCCCTGCCACATCTCGATGGTTCCTGTATGCTAAGTGCATGGCCATACATCCTCCCATGGAAAATCCTCCTAAAGAAGCAAAAATTTGGCAGAAAAAGAAAAATACAGGCATTAATTCACTACAAGATGTATCTATGCGAGTCTTCTTTAGATATTTAAAAAATATTCAAAAACCTTTAAAGACATTTGTGCTAAAAAGGAATTTAATTTTAATCCATATGAGGTATCCTAGAAAAAGACTTGGTAAGATCAGTAAGTAATACTTCCCCCATCCAGTCATCACTTCTGAAGAGATCGGTGCTGTGAAAGCAGCTAGGACTGGACAAAGAAGTCAGGCTCACCAAGTCAAAATACATCTCATAACTCAATTATGAGTTATAGTTCAGGCATTACTCATTTAAATTTCTAATGTCAACTTCTATGTCACTTATAGAAAGTCCTCACACTGCAGCCATGATTAATATTATGCACCTTTTTGTTTTATCTGCCAAGCTGTGAAGTGTGTGTGGCTTTGTGCTTCCAGTATCCACCACATCATGGATACTTAGCAATTTTTCAATTAGGAAGGATGACCGAAACTTTGGTGAGCAGGTTAGAACAGTTTTGGATTACGGTTTTATTTTGGAAATGGCTTTCTGATGTCATAAGGAAGGTCAGTGGAAACTTAACCAGCTCTTCGTGGTCTTGTATGTGCCAAATGCAGTGGCAGTTCCCAGAGACAGGGGGTGAAAGGACATGGACCCCCTTACTCAGGAGGCTTTGATGAGGAAGTACACACACCGCGGAACAGAGAGATAATGAGGTGACAGCAGCAGAGAACCAGAGACCCCATGCCTGACTGTGGGCTGGAGACGCCTGTGATATCCCCAAACCTGAATGAGACTACAAAGAAGCTGAGTTTCCACTTCACAAGAAAATGAATATTCAAAGTAACCAATGGACCACATATTCATGGGATTCTTTATAGAATTCAAGTTTTATAAAATTCAGATTTTCCAGTTTCCAGCCTACATTATTCCAATCCAGATACATGTGAATTAACTGCAATATACGTCTTTTACACATGAAGCAAACGGAACTTGCCAATCTGCCTGCCTCAGCCTCTCAGGTGCTGGGATTACAGGAGTGTACCACCACGCTCGGCAGAAGTTTAGATTTAGTAAAAGAACATAGTTTATATAATAACCAGACAGAGACAATAGGGTCTCACCAGCAGCAGGAGACCACCTCGGATGAAAACCACCTGAAAATGCTTTTCCAAAATACTCTCGCTGACACCTCTAAAGGCAGACACTTGTGAACAAAGCAGTGGAGGGATAGACATAATAAATACCCTAAAGCTGCCTGTAAAATTTGCATGTGTGAATCAGTCTGCTCACAGCTGGATTACCCACAAATCTGTGCAGTGACTAATCTTTGATGGGGAAAAGCTTACCAAGAACAGATTATCACTGCCTATTGTTAAGTCTTCATCCTAAATGTGCAGAAAGAACACCAAGCTTTATTTATATATTGTCACAATTCTAGTTACAGACTTCTCCTTGCTGCTGAAGTTTTTCTATAAAATAACATTATGTGAGGTAGAAAGCAAACACATTTTGAGGTCATTGGGATTTTCTGTTTGTTTGTTTGTTTGTTTGTTTGTTCTGATGACTTGAGAGCCCAGAGCCTTGTATTAGGTAAGTACTCTACCACTAAATCACATGTCTACCCTGCAGAAATAGTATTTTTATCGAGCCTTGATTGGCCGGCTGTTAATTAGGTGCCTGAACTTTGAAATTTTCAACAGTCAGAAGCAGCCTTTTGCATCATAGAGCTTTGCCGACTAGCTGAGCAAACAGCATCCACCCCGTGCACCCCGGGCTAGAGAGCTGGCTTCCTTCTCACAGGCTCAAAGGTGTGCCAGTGAAATAAAAGGCAAGTGACAGAGGATTTACAGATCCCGCCGCATTTATCAGAGAGACACACAGAGCATTTTCCACCCTGACATTCGGTGAAGAGGGAATTCAGCTGAAAACAGGAGCCTCCCTCCTGCCCTCCCGGGACACTCCCTGGCGGTAAGCCTTCGTGTAAATTTCTGAAACCCAGGATTTCATTTCTAGTATGATTAGTCAGCTGGCGTGATCTCTGGGGTCTCCGTCAAACTTTTACACACAAAAACTTAATAATCAGTTATTAAAGCTGAGCTCACAAAGGCTTTCAAAGCTTGGGAGTAGGAATCCATTAGCTCCCTGAGTCCCACCGAATCAGCCTTCCCCAGGCCCCGCTTCCTTGCTCTCTCCCATTTCCCCGTCTTCCTTGCGGCCTATGTGACTCACAAAACGAATTCTGTGTTGTCCACAGCAACACGCACGGTTACCAGTAAAGCTGGGCCTCTAAAACTCGGCTGAGCGCAGGAGGAGCAGATGGCGCAGGCAGGGGTGTGCGAGACTGAGGAGAGCAAAGCAAAGAGCCTGGCGAGCGCGGTCTGGACGGGAGTGGCGAACCGGCGTGAGCAGCATTGCAGGGTTTCTTTAGAGCAAGGCGGTAAAGCTTTTCCTAGCACTGAATTCCTTGGGGAGTTTAGTAAGTAGATTTTCACTAAATATAAAACCCAAAGCCAGACACTGTTTTATATTCCGCAACTTTGTCTACTGATAGTTTATTAAAATCAGGACACAAAGGCCTAATATTCACTGGAGAGTAAAGGTCCCTTGAGCCTTGAACAGTACCTGGCATACACAAGGAGCTTTATAAATATGTGCTGGCCAAATGTACTAAATTGAAGTGCAATACAGATATTTCCGCAAGGAGACAAATTTCTCACCAAGAAATGCAGCTTCTGAGTGATCTGATGAAAGCAAGCTTGGGAACTTTAGGACTCCAGCATTGGTGTGCTCTAGGCCAGCCACTCCTGGTCTGGCTTCTTAAGGACCTAGACTCGCACCCTGGCCTGCTAACAAAACGCTGCCACCTATGTCTAATTTTAAAAAGCTTTTATGCCACAGTTGGATGTGATAAATGGGCCAAGGGTGCAGCCTAAATGTTAAAATAATAATGTTTCACTGTGTTCATTTTTCTTTTCGGTAACTCATGAGGACTGAGATGCAGGTAAATGTCTGCAGGACACATTTACGTGTGGCAAAAGTTCACAATTAAGTACACTGGGTAGGAACAAACAGTGCAAATACAGTCGTAGTTGAAATCCAGACACTACGAGTACAGTTTTCTGAGACAGTCGAGTAGCCTGAATTATGGTTTTGTGCACAAACATTTGAAACATAATTACATATAATAGTGTCATTGAGAAATTAGATTTAAATTTCATTCATTTTTAACTAGTTTCAATTTGAACTTAAAAAGCCAGAGGAAAGAAGGGGCTATATTGGAAAAGGGGTATCAAACTGTAAAAACGTCAGACTTCATCAGTGGAACATAAGGAGTGTCAATATTTCATAAAAAGATAATTGTGATGGTATAATAAAAATCATTAAGGGACAATGTAAAATCAGGGCAAAATATATAAAAATGGTCCGCAAAGTACACCTGTTAAGAATGTTTTATGCATCCAGTTACTCCAAGACCTCATTCCTTTGGACCAGGGAACCTACTCACGTCAGGACCTAACTAACTGAAAGGGGAAAAGGGAATATCATAGTGAAACGCCACTGTGAGTACACAGACACAGGAGATGTGGCCTGCAGACCCTGACCAGTACATTCGACTCTCCTAAGTTACTGAAAAGAAAAATGAATGCAATGAAATTCCATTATTTTAAGATTTAAAATTTCTTTCCCCATTTATAATCTACAATCACCATGTCTTTGACAATGCAATCACCTTTACCGTGGTACACCACTGTGAAAGGGGATTTTGTGTATTTTTTTCTAAAAGAAGAAAACTCAACACAAAGGTCTAGTCATCTGAATTAAATTTTCCACCTAAGTCTAAAATCTAATATAAAATACACTGTTCAATAAGTAAACAGCAAATAGTAAATTCATTGTAGGTAATAGTTATAATGGATATTTATAGTTGCTGGTAAAGTATTTAAAATGTCAGACTTAACATTTCAACATACACTTAAGATTAACAAGCTGAGTAAAACATGTTAAAAATAATAAACTTGGCTTTATGAACTCTTTATGTAAAATAAAACAGAAACAATCTATAAAAAAACTATATTGGGAAAATTAAGAGAATCTGAAAACAAAATCCTAAGTGGGAAAAACAATTAAAATCTGCTATCAACTAAACAGGATTTAAAATTGTAATAAAGTCCACCACTGCATGAATTCAAACAGATCTTCTACTTCTTCAGATTAAGCGTGATAAAGTCACAGAAGATCTGGGGCTGTGCAACTCATGCTTAACACATGTATTTGTGTATTTCCTCTCATGCTAAACCTGTAGGAGAAACAAACTATTTATTTTCCTCTACTTAAAACTTACAACAGTCCCAAGGTTTTAAAACCTTGGAAACTGCTGCTGAAGAAACACAGGCTGTGTAATAACTAAGGTTTTATAAAGCAGAAGCCGTCACCCCCAACGTTTAGCTTCCTGAAGACACTGATAAGGTCCAGGAGGAGGCAGCCTATCAACTCAGTGTTAGGTTCCATTATGAGAGAACCAAGGATCCCTTTGTTTTATTTTAAATCCGATTATGAAATTAATAAATTAATATGATCTACTCTGTCAAGTGTCTGTACCCCACAGATGTGAATGAACAAAATAAGTCATCCAAAATCTTACCACTGGTACATAATTTGGATGTGTTCTTTTAAAATTCATTCTAGCAGTTAAATTCATTCTATGTGTACAACTTAATACATTCTTTTCCTTCATGTAATACTGGTATATAGTGACTTCCTACAGCATCATAATTTTAAAGTAAATGCAGACTCACTGAGTGCTGGTATTTGTGCAGACACACAGCGCTTCGGAGGTAAAGGCTGCCCAGTTGTAGAAGGACCCATAATCTCTCACCCAGTCCCAGGGGTGGGTGTGGAGATTCTCCATGTGACTCAAGTGTGATCCCAGAGCACTTGTTTGTCCCTGTCCCCAAATTCTGATAAAAGGCTCATACTGTC